AATCAGTTTTGCTGATAAATGGATGGATTTTCTCTTTTTTGGAAGACAGTGCTAAAGCTAGTGTCACCTATTCTGTATGCTTTCTCAGGCTTTTGATATTGCAGCATCAATGGAGATTGGAGTGAATTTAACAGCAAGGTCAATCCCAGACATGAGACAGATTCATCAATTCCCATAAGTCAAGCTTTTTTCTGCTGGTAAGTGCTGGGAAGTAAAGAGTAAGTTGCAAATACTTCCTTCAAGTATGCATTAGAGTCACCAATTATGCATGATAATGTTCACACACATCAGCTTGCAAGATAACTTTACTCATAGAATGTGGTTAATATAATCATGTTAACTTTTTATAGGTGTGTAATCATGACCTAATTGACTAAGGTGCTTGCTGTTACTGTTAAAATTTGTGCCATAGGTACTTGAAATGATTATATTCATTGAAAAGAAGGGAGTCATGATTGTCATGTTAATATTCATGCAATTTGAATTGTTCTCAAAATAGTGTAATCAATCATGCTTATTATAGCAATAGACTAAGACAATAACTAGATTGCTATTTTTGACGGGCCGGGCCGGGCTGGGCTTGGACATTTTGCCAAGAGCGGGCTACGGGCTGGGCCGGGCTCTGAACCCATGGGCCCGGGCCGGGCTGGGCTGGGGATTTTGGGGCCCGTGGCGAACACTGATTCATACATACATTGGGTTAGGGGGTTTCCGTGCATACAGGTAAAAATTAGTCTGGTCATATATGATGCTGGTGTTTTATGCCGGTGTGACCCGGGGAACTCTTCCTCCAGCTAAGCAAGGCTTGTTGCTGGTCGAGTCCCCAGGTCACAGCAAAGGAATGTGGCGTATGGTCTGAATAGGTATATTGGAGCATATTTGTTTGAAATCCTTTTTCAGCTCAAGAGGGACTTTATAGAGCATGTTTAAATTTGAATTTTTGGACTTAATAACTGACTCGACTAAAATGACTTGAGAACTTTATTTTTGCTATGTGTATCTGAGGATTAGTTGATTTTTTGTATGTCTCTTTATGATTTGTTTTGATGCTTCACGAACTTCTGACAACAAAAAATGGGGGGTTATGATACTGTTCCAGAGTCTAGGACCTTGCCAGAAAGCAGTTTTTGTGCGATATAATTTTCGTGTAAATGTCTCTTTAAAATGGTGTATGTTTCTTGTTTGGATATTTGGGTCATCCTGCAGATAAAATAGTGTTTCAAGAGATGGCGGCAAGGTTCCATTTAACTTTCGATGCATGATTAGAAGAAGCTGTTGTTTGGCGATATCATTTACTTTAAGAAGGTTGAGCGTTTTGAAAATGGGATCAGAGTGAGCGAGTTTAGGCTGATTGTCAATAATTCTGATGATGCGTTTCTGAAGGATTTCAATTTTGTTTAGGTATGTTGGGAAAGTAAAGCCCCATACGACGGTACAATAGTTTATGTAGGGCAATACCAAGGAGTTGTAGAGCAATAAAAGTGATTTTTTGTCTAATAAGTACTTGATTCTGTTAATGATTCCTATATTATCGGCTTATGGCTAAGGCAAGATAGTCGATATGGGTAGACCACTTTAATTTAGTATCAATGTATACTCCCAAGTATTTTACTGTGTCTTCCCTTTATATAGAGTCATTATTTAATTGTATGTCTAGATCAAATTCATTACTTGCGTTACTGTATATTTGATATATGGTTTTTTGAGTGTTAAGGGTAAGCTTGTTCATTTGTAGCCAGGAGCAGATAAGTTTAGCTTCGCAGTTAATGATATTTTCAAGGCTGTTTTTGTTTGTTGCTTCAAAGAAAATCGCGGTATCATCTGCATAAAGGAGAAATTTTACGTATGTTTTATTAGTGATGTTTGGTAAATCGTTAATATAAAGAAGAAATAGCAGTGGACCTAATATGGAGCCTTGAGGAACCCCAATTTTTACTTTTTTGAAATCTGATTTGATTTCCTGGTACTCCACACATTGTAATCTGTTCGTTAGGTATGATTCAATAAGATGAAGCGATGCACCACCAAATCCATAAATCTGTAATTTTTTAGTAAAATGGAATGATCAACTGTATCAAAGGCTTTCTTTAGATCCAAATAAATACCACAGGTAATTTTGCCAGCTTCCAGTGAAGTAGTGATGTAGTCTTGGAGCAAAAGTAAGGGCATGTAGGTAGACTTATTCTTTTGAAAACCAAATTGAGACTGATTTAGAATTTGGGCATCATGAAGGTATCTTGTCATTCTTATGTATATGATCTTTTCAAGTATTTTAGACAGGTATGGTAGAATGCTTATAGGCCTATAGTTACTAAATAACTTCTTATCCCCAGATTTATAAATTGGTTTTACCACTGCAATTTTCAGTGCCTATCTTATCGGAATGCACAGTAAGCTTTCAGACATGATCAAAGCAACATAATAAAAATAGGCGGTTCATATCCAGAATATACTCATCACTGCGTAATTTAGCACACACATGGAGCAAAGCCGATAACCAATTGACCACTGGCCATGCTATTGGTGTTTAATGAGTGGAAAATATTTGCCTATCTTATCTTCTTTGGACAATGATGTCCACGCTCAGCGGTGCACCCAAGGGTGCATTTGCTTGTCCTATATCAGCGGCTAAAAGTTCGGTAAATGCCTGTGTGAAAAAACCCTACCAATATATCGTTTTTTTGTGTTTTTTTTTTTAGCGGCTGATCCACCTATGTAGACGCATTGATACCGTGTTTGTGCCTTCCCGTGTTACTGTAGAAACCGCTCTATGTATGGCGCAGGCCGTGCCCGGTGTCAGTCCCACCGGATTCCCGCCACCCACCCCACTGCGTCTGTGCCGTCTCCACGTGACGTCCGCACCGGAGTGCTATGTGCGGGCTGTTGCCATGTTCTGTGCCCACCCTGTGAGTGTGTCCGCACCGTGTTGTGTCCGACAGTACACCGTGGGTTCCCAGCGGGGTAATGACGGGAAATTGTCGGCGCCGGCCGTTCCGCCGGCCCTCCGTCAGTTCCCTGCACGGGGTCCGGTCCGTCCACAGCGCGCTGAGAGAGCGGCGCCGGACCGGCAGAGGGACAGCACGTGCAGCCGGTCCGACGCACTGTCCTCACTCCGGGGCACCGGTAGTGGACACCGAACACCTACCGCGGAGTCTATAAAGGTAGGGTGGAGCGCCGAGCAGCCTCCGTCCAGCGCCCTCAGCATCCCGGCCCATTCATAAATCACAGCAGTGATTCAGGAAACGGCCGCCTGTGACGACCCGCTCACGAAATCGGCCGCCGTGAGCTGCGGCTTCCGGCGGCGAACCGTGAGCCGCAGCCGTGATCACGAACTTTCAGCGTCACGACCCGCTGCGTCACGGACGAACGCCGACGCGGCTGCGGTTCCGTGACGCCGCACTGGTCTGGAGCCGTCTACCTGCCCCGGGCGGCTGGTGTGCAGACGCCGTGCATAGGCAGACAGGCTGTCCCCGGTCTTCAGACCGCACCGTATCCGTGACGGCCCTGGTGATATACGATGCGCTGATCGCATTACACGCTCCACTCCTCTGCCGACGGAGCCGGTGGAGTCCCACCAGGATGCGGCCTCTAACATGGTCCGTGATCGTAAAGAAAGGTCGAACGACGAACACAAGACGTCGCAAAATTGCACTCCGACTGTGCAGAGTGTGTGGCCCAGCCAGCCGGGCCGAGCGGTATAGGATCTGTAATCTGTATAGGGCTGTGTCTGTACCACGGGTCTGTCACCAGGGCAGGCCATCGTACTAATTATGTGTCGCCAACCGTCGCCTGGAACGTTTCTCCCTCTGCGACTGATAAGTAGAGCTGCAAATCTTCCTTTGTGTCCGCCATCAACGTATCATACCGGAACGGCACGGCTATGCATCATCTTACTTACCGTAACTGGAGATTTGAAACGGGTCTGAATCACTCCACTGAGAAGGCATTGATACGAGTCGGAATACCCCACTGCCACTGAGCCACGTCATCAGAATGGCCCGTCGGGCCCGCAGTATACCAGTTGCCATTCCCATGCATAAAACATGTGATCAGTGGCCGACACCAAATGCAATGGAAAATCGGTGATAACTGTGGCAGCCCTCTCGCGGCTATGTCAGCCCTGTGACAGCTGTGTCAGCAGTGCACCGCTGTGACAGTCCTGTGTCGGGCCTGTGTCGGGCGCCGCGCGGTCTGGTCTTGCGAGGTCGGCGGGTCTTTCAGCCGCAGTGCCGGCTGCCAGTGTTTGGAGCGGCTTTGCGAAGGCCGCGGCCCAGATATTGAGGCTGGGGGACACGGCACGTGACACACGCAGCTCCAGCCAGCCCGGCGAGCGGCGGTGGAGTCTGGATTGGGATCGGGTGGAACTGGAGCCGCTACTGGAACTGTATGTAGTGGACATGCAAGTACGACGGGCACGTAATCGAATTGAGCAAAGAACTTTGTGATGTTTGCTCCGGGAGGGGCAGCATTGATAAAAAATATTGATTTCTTCGTGTAGTGAGTGAAGTTTTCTAAAAGCGTAGAGAGTAACTAAAACTGACGGCAGCGAACGAGTTTTGACCTCTTCCTGTTATGAATCGGGTTCATATCTCGTGCGCGTACCGCACCCGCCGTCTACTCAGCTCAGCCAGCATTGCACGGCGTGTTGACCCGCTGATATTTCACCCAAACGGTAAAGCTTTGCAACCTCATATCGGTAGGTCAGCGTGGCAAATTCATGGCGCTCGCAGTCAAACGTAGTAGATCTGTTCCCGATAGCGCGATGGGTATCAGTCACAAAGGGCCAGCGCCGCTGCAGGCTCTGGTTGTGGTCGGTGATCGGCAGGTCGGCAGGTCGTGGTCGCTAATCGGAGGTCGACGCCGACCACATTTCAAACCCCCCTGGGTAGCACGGTAGCCCCCTCCCTCCCCCTCCCACACACACACGCACATACACAGACAGTGCAGCTCAACAAAATCCCCTCCCCAGTCCCCGGCGCGGGCCGGCACCGGTCACTCACCATTGAAGGCCTCGAACTCGGCCCAGTAGGGTGTCGCCACGGCCACCACGCCCACCACGAACGACACCACCGCCAGCAGAGACGAGCCCGCCGACAGCACAACGTTGCTGCCCATCTCGGCTGGGCTGCGGTCACCGCACGCCGGGTAAGTTAGCCGCGAGGCAGACACTCAGGGCGCAGAGTCACACCGCCGCACCAACGGACTCCACAGGGCACTGCCCACAGGCGGGCGCCCCGCGCCACAGGCCTCCCCCACAGGGCACAGCCCTCAGGTGTGCGTGATCCCGAGCGGCGCCGCCGACCGACACGCAGGAGGCACAATGCCACGACGGTCCACTCACGACTCACACGCCCGCACACCCCGCACTGCCCCGCGCGCCGCCCCACTGCCCCGCGGCCGGCCCGCCGACCCTCCGCGCACCTGACTGCGCTCACCCTGCGTATCGCCGCTCTACCGGCCCGCGGGGAGGCCGCAGGGGCCGCGCGACGCGGGGTGGTAGAGCGCCACCGGACAGCGAGCCGCCAGCCGAGCGCAGCGCGCCGCCGGCGGCGCCTTTGTCGAGTGTGAATCCGCGGACGGTGACGGCCGGGGAGGGGAGGGGAGCGGACAGGAGGGGAGGGAGGGTGTCCACTGTCCGTACTACAGCGGTATCTGGCCGCCTCACTATTGTCGTCTTTTGTCTGCCCCTGCGCATGTGCTGGGGAGCCTTCCACCTGACAGGGGCTGAGGGTAAACTCTTTAAAGATATATAAATATGTCCAACACAAAACCAGGTGAAAAATTAACCCGCGCCCTGGTTGGTGGGGGGCTATTTCCCCCCCCCCCTCCAGACTTTTCGATATATCTCCAGAACCGCTGCGCCGATCGTCACCAAACTTTCAGTACCCTCCCGGGCAGGGTTTCGGAGTCGGAGTCGGAGTCGGAGTCGGAATCGCCCAGAGTCGTGGCAAGCAGCCAGGAGTCGGAGTCGGAGTCAGAGTCGGTCAAGCTGCCTCGACTCCGACTCCGGAAAATAATTAGAATCTGTGATATCACTTTTCAGTTTTTTCCAGTTGCCCGCGGTAGAATTCGCTTCCGGCGATAAATATTGCACTAATCTTGTTTTTGTTCTAAATGACAAACATTGGATGTTACAAGTTTCAAGTTATATCATAATTTGGTAGCCAAGTATTTTGCATGCCTGTTATAACTTCCACTATCTGAAGTATTTGACGAGTCAAAGACTTATTTTTATTTTCCTCGTTTATGCTCCGAAAAGTATCAACACGTAGGAATGACCGACATGATGGTGATGCTCGTGTTCGTGATACGGCCGCCTCTCGCGCTTCTCGGCGGGTTTCCACGCTGACCGCTGACCTCTTGTGGATTCAGCTGCGTCCACGTGGGAGAAATGGTGACTGCATGAAGGAAACCAGAGAGTAGGAGCGTTCTCCCCGTGCACGTAGACAGTAGCGGCGGAACACCTTCAATTAAGGGGGGGGGGGGGGGCACCGCCGACTTTTGGTCCCATTCTTTCCATGCAACGCCCATAGGGCTAGGTAACGTTAAAATGCCAAAATCAAAGGGGGGCACGGTGCCCCGGTGCCCTCCCCGTTCCGCCGCCTATGCACGTAGACCTAGCACGTGGCGTCATATCACGCAAAATTTTGGCGGCCGCCATTGCCATTCGTATCATACCCGGAGTCGGAGTCGGAGTCGGAGTCGGAATAGCGCTACCACGACTCCGAAACCCTGCTCCCGGGCATTAATTTTGAACATTGGGACCAAAAAAAAAAATTACAAATGCTTTGATAGGTTGGCCGGAAATGACGTCAGAGTGACGTCATGTTCTGCCGTTTTCGACCAAAAAATTACGCGGGGAGAGCTGTCAGGCATATAGCATTGAAAATACAGAAAATTATCAGACATAAAAGCTGTAGAATTGACAGGGCTACAAAACTGCTATCTCGGATTTTTTTAAATTTTTGAGTTTTGACCCCCCAAAATTTTTTTTGGATATATTAGCCAAAGAAATCAAAAAAGTTTTTTTTCGAATTTCAGAAAAACCGGAATAGGTATATAAGATAGTACCTACCGTATTCTATCTACACACCAAATTTCAGATCGATGTCTCTTTTTTGGCCAAGTTATAGCAAAAAACAAAACAGTTTAAAAATGACGTCAAATTTTCCAACTCAATTTTTGGCAATTCTAGACCACGTAGCGCAAAACGAAGACCACCATTAGACTCGCCGTGACGAGCTGCATCGAATCGATGCCCATTTCATGCAAAAATATCAACTTCAAGATTTGACCTTTTTTGACCTGACATTGACATGACCTCCACCAGGAAGTGACCTAAACCGTTTCTGATGGTCATATAACCAACACCATTCAGTTGAAAATGAAAAATTGCCCATTAAACATGCATCGCACAGCCCTAGTAACATTGGGTTAATGTGCTGGACTCTTGGTGACCTGATCTGTAACCTGACCTGGTATTATCAGTGACCTCTGATAGCAGCATACCTATATACTAGGCAACTGGCGCCCTATCGCTGATTTTCGATAAAATGTGTTTTACTCGATGTTATAGTGCATTCCCTAGAATACCCGTGAACGGCAAAACATTTTATCTTTGACCTGACCTTTGACGTCATCGGTGACCCCGAGGTCAATGAAAATGAAATTCCTTCGACAAATTTGACAGGCCTTTCGAACGCCGTTTGCATTTTGCGGATCCGTCCAGTAGTTTCGGAGATATGAAAGGGGGGCAAAAAATAGCCCCCCCCCACCAAGTCGCGTTATAAACAGGCCCCACCAGGGCGCAGGTTAACCCGCACCCGGCTGGGGGTCCTGGATTTCCACGCCTGGCTGGGGGGGGGGGGGGGTGTTTCAACAATCCTAACTCGGCTCCTGGGCCACGTAGCGATACGCGGAAGGCGGCGTTAGAAAGAGCTCCATGTGGCTATAGAAAGCCGTTTGAATTTTTAAAATCGGTCGGTAACATTCCGAGATCTTGGGGGCCGAAACGCCACCCCCAACGGGTGGCAGGCTTCGAGAGCATCCTACGGGGTGCGGATTCGAAAGCGGCATTCGAAAGAGCGTCAAAAATAATGAAGAACGTATTTTGATCAAATTAAGGTCATGTACAAAATCTGATCACCAGAGGTCACCAAAGATCAAAGCTTCTCTATTTCAATAATTTTTTAGAAACCGGAGCTAAACTCGGGATCCAATAAATATACAGCGCCTGGGAACAGTGCATTCAATAGCTCTTTTAACGCTCTTTCTGGCGACCGCCCTCAGATTTAACCTCAGATTAACGGTTAAGCCTCCAGACAGTAAAAACTTTAAAACAGTCGTTTTTACAAAAAATCTTTTTTCTGCAATATCCTATTGACTCAAGAAAGGCACGACATTGCTTTTGCCAGCATCGTGATCCTCTCGTCGAGACGTGTCAAACTCACATGAGCTATAAGTTGACCTTAAAAGGTCATTTTGAAAATATAACCTCAGGTCCAGCTCATGACCTGATCGGAGAAAGTCAGGCTGCATAGGTATCAGTCAATCCGTACCGTATCGTCGAGCTGAATTCATCTACCTATATACGTCTTGACATCGCCCTAGCAGGTCGCTGCCAAAATTTATTCTAAAAAACTGATGGATATTTTTTATGACCTGAAATGACTTCAGGGGCATGAAGAGGGTCATAGTTGGCAATATTCCAATCCAGTGTGTCATTTCTAGCTGCGCTAATCCCTTGGTTCATGGTTGAGTGTTTAGTTTGACCTCCTTCCGCAATAGGCGTATTTTAATTTTCTCTTATCGACTCATATAACTTTCCAGGCGGGTGGGGGGGGGGGGGCATTTTTTGTCCCCCCTTTAGTTTTTTCGATATATCTCTAGAACCGCTGCGCCGATCGTCACCAAACTTTCAGTATCCTCCCGTGAATATAGCTATTGCAAATTGTGACCAATTTTTTTTCCAAAGGCTATGATAGGTTGGCCGCTAATGACGTCGGAGTGACGTGACGCGGGAAGAGCTGTCAGGCCTACAGCTTTAGAGATACAGAAAAATGTTTCGACATAAAAGAAGCAGAATTTAACAGGGCTACAAAACTGCTATCTCAGATTTTTGAAATTTTTAAATTTTGACCCCAAAAATAAAGAATAGGTTTTTTGAATATAATAGCCAAAAAAATCCAAAAAGTTTTTTAAATTTCGAAAAAATGGAATATATGTGATAGTCCCTACCGCCTTCTATCCACATACCAAATTAAAGATCGATACCTCTTTCTTTGGCCAAGTTATAGCGAAAAAAATGTTCAAAATTGATGAAGTCAAATTTTCAAACTCAATTTTTTAGCAATTCTAGACCTCGAAGTGCAAAGCAAAACAAGGACCACCATTAGACTCCCCGTGACGAGCTGCATCGAATCAATACCCATTTTATGCAAAACTATCAACTTTGAAAATTTGACCTTTTTTACCTGACCTTGACCTGACTTCCACCAGAGAGTGACCTAAACCGTATCTGATGGTCTTATAACCAACACCATAGAGTTGGAAATGAAAAATTGGCCATAAAGCATGCATCGCACAACCTTAGTAAAGCTGGGTTCATGTTCTGACCCTTGGTGACCTGACTTGTGACCTGACCTGGTATTGTGAGTGACGTCTAATAGCAACATATGTACTAGGCAACTGACGCCCTATCGCTTATTTTTGACAAAATGCGTTTTCCTCGGTGTTATAGCGCATTCCCTAGAAGACCCGTGAACGGTGAAACATTTTGTCTTTGATCTGACCTGTGACGTCATCGGTGACCCCGAGGTCAATGAAAAATTTGGATTCCTTCGACAAATTTGGCAGGGCTATCGAACGCCGTTTGAATTTTACGGATCTTTCCAGTAGTTTCGGAGATACGGGGGGGGGGGCAAAAAATGCCCCCCCCCCACCACCGCGCGGAAGGTGGCCGGGAGGCCCACCGCCTGCCGGGTTAAAATGTAGAGAGCGCAAAATTGACCTGACTTCAGGCCACCGCTATAAAATTCCGAGAAATGCATTTTGTACATACTTACTATTACTCATGTGCTCATATAAATCGCTGAAGGTTTCAAAGCGATCGTTCAGTCGGTGTAGCTACAAAGAGCGTTCTAACCTTCTCTGTGGTGATGTCGCTTGACGTGACCTGGTGACCTGACCTTGAGCGACCTGGGTCTGAAATTTTCACATCATGTGCAAAAAAAAAAATACATAACCAGGTGTGCTGAAAACGGTAGCGCTCCGCGTCGCCATTTTTTTCAGATATCTATTAAAAAAAAAACGCAAAGGGATGCTCAAACACCCCCGTTTAGTTATCTATTGTCTGCATTCTTTGTGCACTTTCATATAAAAACAATGTGGGGAAAGCATCCCACTCGGCTAACCAGGGCCAAGGCATTTTTTTTTTTCGAACTACTCGGCCACC